AGAGTGAAACCCCAATTCACACACACACACACAAAAAACAAGCAAAGTCTCTTTCACGTTCAAATTATGGGTCACTCTTTCACAGGAGTTACCTGATCCAGGTTGTGGCATCATAACCTGAAACCCAGTTGTCCCCTATTAGTGCCCATGATGTGTCCAGACACCAAGACCCCAGCTGGAGCCCAGGGCCCGGCCACTTCCTGACTGTGTGGCCCTGGTTAAGAGGCTGCCCCTGTCTAAGTCTCAGCTTTGTCCTCTGCAACATGGAGGTGCTTACCACATCCTTCTCTGAGCTCTCATCCCCAGAACTGAACCCCCAGCTCGGTGCTTTGGGGTGTGTAGAGGCGGGAGACAGGCTGGGCACTGGGACTGTGGAGGGTGGAGACTTTCCATCCCCTGCCTGTATCTGCCAGGCCTCTTTGCCACCTGGTGGATGGGGCAGGATTGGGCAGTGGGGGTGGGGTTGGAAGCGTCCAGGAGGGCTGTGGGGTGCTGGGTATGGTTTCTGCTCAACTTCCACACCATCCCTGCCTTCCAGAAACATCTTTGGCCCTGCTGCCCCTAACACACTTCCCCGACTTGATTCCTCTTCCTGAGTCTTGGGCTCCAGGGAGTTGTAATGGAGCTAGTCCCCACCTTGCCTATTTTTTTAAAATCTGGGTGGTGATGGGTGCTGGGACATCCCTGTATCCCCTGCACCAGACCCCATCTCACCCTATCCAGCAAACTTGGTAGGATGATGGTGGCAGGTTTGAAAGAAGAAACAAGAGAAACTTAAAAGAAAAGGAAGGCTCTTCAGTTTTTGGCTTGGTGGAGGCCAAGGTGCAACTTTCTTTTCTTTTCTTTTTTTGAGTTGGAGTCTCACTCCATCACCCAGGCTGGAATGCAGTGGCATGCTCACAGCCACCGCAGCGTCAATCTGCTAGGCTCAGGTGATCCTTCCACCTCAGCCTTCCAAGTAGCTGGAATTACAGGTGCGTGCTACCATGCTCGGCTAATGTTTTGATTTATTGTAGAGATGAGGTCTCACCAAGTTGCCCAGGCTGTTCTCGAACCTGTGGGCTCAGGCAATCCCCTCACCTCAGCCTCCCAAAGTGCTGGGATTATAGGCTTGAGCCTCCAAGCCTGGCCCAAGGTGCAACTTTTCACAGTCATCCTGAATTCGGGTTCATCTGACTCCAGCTGCCTCCGCTATGCTACCCAAATTCAACTCCAAGGACATCAAAGTCATGTACCTGAGTTGCACCAGGGGACAAGGTCGGTGCCACATCTGCACTGACACCTAAGATCGGCCCCCTGGGTCTGTCTCCAAAAAGGGTTGGTGATGACATCGCCAAGGCAGCCAGTGACTGGAAGGGTCTGAGGATTACAGTGAAACTAACCATTCAGAACAGACAGGCACAGAATGAGGTGGTACCTTCTGCCTCTGCCCTGACCATCAAAGCCCTCAAGGAACTTTCTGAGAGACAGAAAGAAACAGAAGAATATTTAACACAGTGGGAATATCACTTTAGATGAGATTGTCAACGTTGCCTGACAGATGTGACACCGATTTTTAGCTAGAGAACTCTCTGGAACCATTAAAGAGTCCTATGGGCTGTCCAGTCTGTGGGCTGCAGTGTTGATGGCCACCACTGCTATGACATCATAGATGACATCAACGGTGGTGCAGTGGAATGCCCAGCTAGTTAAGAAGTACAAAGGAAATATATTTCAATAAAGGGTCATTTGATAAAAACATAAATAAAGAGAGAGAGAAAGGGACAGGAATACATGGTAGACAGAGTTAGAAACAGGCCAGATGCGGTGGCTCACTCCTATAATCCCAGCACTTTGGGAGGCTGAGGTGAGAGGATTGCCCAAGCCCAAGGGTTCAAGATCAGCCTGGGCAACTTGGTGAGACCTCATCTCTATAATAAATCAAAAAGTTAGCCAGGTGTGGTATCATACAACTATAGTTCTGGTTACTTGGAAGGCTGAGGTAGAAAGATCCCTGAGCCCAGCAGGTCAAGGCTGTGGTGGCTGTAAGTATGCCACTGCACTCCAGCCTCTGGATGACAGAGTGAGACTCTGACTCAAAAAAAAAAAAAAAAAAAGAAAGAGAAAGAGACAGAGACAGTGGGAGCGAGAGTCACAGAGACAGAATGACCAAGAGAGATACATTTAGAGATGAGGAAACCAAGAGACACAGTCAGCACGGCATTGCACAGCCTGTACCTAATTGATGCACATGTGCCACAAACAATGTGGGAAAAAGTTTATTAGGGAAAAAAGAGAGGAAAGAAAGGGAGACATGCCAGAACTGGCATGGGAGGGAGAAACCACGCCTTTTGCTTTTTACCATAGACCTGATGTACCTTCACAATGATTGATATGCTAAAGAGGGTGGAGCCCAGGTAAGAATCACTCTGGAGATGAACATCTCTCCACCTTTTTTTGTTTGAGTTTGAGTTTGAGTCTCACTCTCATGGCCACCGCAGCTTCAACCTGCTGGGCTCAGGTGATCATTACGCCTCAGCCTTCCAAGTAGCTGGAACCATAGATGCATACCACCACACACAGCTAATTTTTTAAATCTGTTGTAGAGATGAGATCTCACCAAGGTGCCCAAGCTGGTCTCAAATCCCTGAATTCAGGTGATCCACTTGTCTCCGCCTCCCAGAGTGCTGGGATTACAGGTGTAATCTGCACCCAGCAACTCTCCACTCCTGATGCGAGGATCGGAGAGGTGGGGATGGTCTTGTCCTGACCACGTTGTCTTTTCCAGGAGACCTGCCAGATATTTCCAATTCACAGGTTTTTGAGATACAAAGTGGTCTTACTATCACTTTCTATGACTTTGGTCAGTTAAGGTGTAGTATTAAGCCATCTGCCTTCAACAGGGAATCGGAAAGAGTCTTAGTGACTATTATGCTAAACCATTAATTGAAAGTTTGGTGCCTTTGGGAGGCTGAGATGAGTGAATTGCCTGAGCCTGTGGGCTCGGGACCCGTCTGGGCAACTTGGCGAGACCTCAGCTCTACAATAAATCAAAAAATTAGCCGGGTGTGGTAGCGCGCGCCTGTGGTTCCGGCTACTTGGAAGGCTGAGGCAGAAGGATCGCTGGGGCCCAGCAGGTCGAGGCTGCGGTGGCTGGGAGCGGCCACTGCACTCCAGTCTGGGTGACAGAGTGAGAATCCAACTCAAAAAAAAAAGAAAGAAAAAGAAAGTTTGGGCTCTCCTATTCTTACATCTGATGGGGTTTTCTTTTTCTTTTTTTTTTTTGAGTTGGAGTCTCACTCTGTCGCCCAGGCTGGAGGAGGGCAGTGACACGCTCCTGGCCACCACAGCCCCAACCTGCTGGGCTCAGGTGATCCTTCCACCTCAGCCTTCCAAGTAGCTGGAACTACAGGCACACCCCACCATACCCGGCTAATTTTTTGATTTATTGTAGAGATGAGATCTTGCTAAGTTGCCCAGGCTTGGGCAATGCTCTCACCTCGGCCTTCCAAAGTGCTGGGATTATAGGTGTGAGCCACCGCTCCCAGCCAAGGGGTTTTCTTTTCTTTTTTTTCCCCCCGAGTTGGAGTCTCACTCTGTCGCCCAGACAGAAGTGCAGTGGCACGCTCCCGACCACCACAGCCTCGACCTGCTGGGCTCCGGCGATCCTTCCGCCGTCTTCCAGGTAGCTGGAATTACAGGCCCGCGCTACCACGCCCGGTTCATTTTTAAAAATTTTATTGTAGAGACGAGGTCTTGCTAAATTGCCCAGGACTGTCTCAAACTCACAGGATCAGGCAATTCACTCACCTGGGCTTCCCAAAGCGCAGGATTACAGGCTGAGCCACCGAGCCCGGCCAAGAGGTTTTCCTTTGATTTGCAGAGGGGGTGGGGTGGGCTGCCAACTTGGCTTGCAATAAGATGTAATTTTTTTTTTTTTTTTTTTAGTTGGAGTCTCACACTGTCACCCAGACTGGAGTGCAGTGGCCGCTCCCGGCCACCACAGCCTCGTCTAGCTGGGCTCCGGCGATCCTTCCGCCTCCGCCTTCCAAGTAGCCGGAATTACAGGCATGCGCTACCACGCCCGGCTGATTTTTTGATTTATTGTAGAGATGAGGTCTCGCTGCCCAGGCAGGTCTCAAACCCACGGGCTCAGGTAATCCACTCACCTCAGCCTCCCAAAGGCGCGGGATTACAGGCTGAGCCACCGAGCCCAGCTAGGATGTAATTTTTTTAATGTCTCAATGCTTCCTAAAACGTGCCTATGGGAAATTCATTTATCCATGTCTAACCTGTGCTAGCTACCTGTCTCACCTCTGGGCAAGCTGCTGCCATGCTCACCGCAGCTCTCCCTCTGGGCAGTGGGGGTGGTCACGTTGCTCCTGCAGGGTCTTGTGGGAGCAATCAGTGATTCCTTGCATGACCTCAGTAACCCAGGGGCCTAGGGAAGGAGCAGGGATTGTCAGCTCTTCCTTACTGTCTCCCTACTGAGGGCTGACTCGGGCCCCACACTCTGGGCCCCAGGGAGGCAGCGGTGACTGAGCCAGGCCCCAGCCCCGCAGCATGGCCCTCTCTGTGGTTACACTGCCACTGTGGTTACTTTTCATTCCCGAGGCATCATCTGGAATTTCTGGGAGACGTCCTCAGCCCCAGGCAGGAGGTTTTAGCTGAGAGGAGGGTCTGGGTTTCCCGTCCAGTTTGTCTGTTCTCAGGACCCCACGTGTTTCAGCAGAAAGTGAGCCCAGGAGCCTTTCCTCGACCAGGCCACAAGGAGCCCCTTCTGGGGACATGATGAGGATGACTTGTCCCTGGAGTCAGCAGCTGGAAGAGGGCCAGGGCCTGGGGCCCTCAGTAATTGGAGGGAGCCAACCGCCCCAGCCTTGCCAGTCTTGCCCCAGGGCCAGGGTCTGTGCCAGGTGGTGGGTGGGAAAGGGTGAGTCATCCGAACCCGCCCTACCGTCTGCTTTACTTAAGGTCCCCAGCTGTCCTCCCACCACCACTGTTCGTGTCCCTGACCAGCCATGACTGTGAGTGTTTCAGGGGCCCAAGACCAGGCACGTGGGGAGGGCCTGGGGCTTGCTGAGAAAGTGGGCAGTGGGTTTGCTGTGACTTGTCCTGGCTGTGGCGTGTGGGTGGCCCACCTCATCTCCCTCTTGGTGGCTTCCTGGTTTTGTTGCTGTCTCCATCTCTTTCCCTATCTCTGTCTCTTTCTCCATGTCATCTCTCCGTGAAACTTTTCTCTCCACTGTTTTCTGCCAGTCCGGGCCCTGGTCTGTTCCTCTGTAGGGTCCCCATGTCTTGCCTCTCCCTCTGTCTCCCTGGGTCGCAATACCCCCATCCCCACTCTTGCAGACTCCTCCCCACAAGACTTTGCTGTCTGAGGGCATTCGCCCTGGTACCGTGCTCAGGATTCGCGGTCATGTCCCTGACAAGGCTGGCAGGTGAGACCCCAGGGGAAGAGGGGTGGGAGGTCTCCATGCTCAGCTCCTCCTAAATACTGCAATCCAGAGATTGGGGACCTGGCCATCTCTGCCACCAGAGTCTCGTAATCCCATTCTGACCTTCTGAAATTGGATGTATTCACTTCCTTGCCCCAGGCCTGTGTGACTGCAGTCTCCAAGTCTCTGTAAGAATTTGGGGTTCAGAGCCATCTCAGGGTTCCCAGATATAGGTCCATGACGTCCATGTATGAGTCCCAGAAACTCTAGACATATGCCTGAGTCCCGGAAGTACCCTGACACTGGAGGGCCTTGCCTATCAGATCTGTGTGAGGGAACTTCGGGGATTCTGGGATATTCTGGAGATATCAGGGTCCCTGGTATTGTACCAGAACCTGGGGACTTTCTGGGCTCAGGAACACCCTGGCCATCAGCCCCAGGACTCCTGGCAGCTCCCAGGCTCTTTGGAATTGAGGGCACCTTTGCTCCACCCACGGTGACCTTGTTCTGGGTGTGTCTGCTCAGGCCCAGGAAACGGTGGAAGCCTCGGGAGCCTGGGCTCCCGGCCTTAGTCCACACCCCTCCTGCGGCGTGTGATTCTTTGGCCCTGCCACCTGAGGGTGCTCTGGAAAGGGGGAGTCCTGGCCCACTGCCCCCCCCGTGGTCCGGGGGTCCCGAACCCTGAGGCCACCCTCCTTCCCCGCAGGTTCCACGTTAACCTGCTGTGCAATGAGGGGCAGAACGCCGACACCGCGCTGCACTTCAACCCCAGACTGGACACCAACGAGGTGGTCTTCAACAGCCTTGAGCGCGGCGCCTGGGGCCGAGAGGAGCGCGGCGGGGGCCTCCCTTTCCAACGCGGGCAGCCCTTCGAGGTGCTCATCATCGTCACCGACGACGGCTACAAGGTGCCTCTCTGCCCCGGGGGTGGGGGTGGGGGTGGACGCCGAGCCCCCGGTCCCTGAAGCAGAGGGTGGGCCACGGTCCGGCGATGAAAGCGCAAGGGCCGGGAGGTGGGCGGGGCCGAGCCCTCCCTCCTCCTGCCCGGGCGACGCCCACGGGGCAGCAGGGCCAGGCCGCGTG